CCCGCGGCGGCGACGCCCGGGTGGCCACCCGTGGAGGGGGGGGGGGGGGGCAGCCCGCCACGCCAGCCTCCGAGCGAGGCGTTCGGGAAACAGGGCTCGCCCGTCGGCGGCGCCTTGACGTCACGACGCACCGCCGCCTGGCCCAATCCCGTCTTCGGCCGGCAATGGGGAGCGCGTGTGGGCTTCGACCTCGCCCCCCCCCACTCCGGGGGTGTCGGACTGGGAGTCCCATCATCCGCAGCTGAGCTCCCACGGTCTCGCCGGCTCCTTTCCCCCCCCCCAGGTTTTTGTTTGACGTAATCGCTTTCTTCAGCTTGATGCCCTGCAAATGGTTTGGACTACAACTCCCATCGCGGCCAGGTTCTACTCGGACGCGTCCCTTTTTTAAAAAGTAGAATACTGGACGATGGAGCACCCAGCGTGGATAGGGTGACGGAGCGGAATTCTGGACAATTTTTTTTATTATTCTGTGGTCTCCAGAATCATATATATATCATACATATATATATGTATCATACATATACTGCACTGTATATATGATTCATACATATATATATGATTCTGGAGACCACAGTTCAGGCATGGAAGTTCACTGAGGTTCACTGAGGTTGTGGAATTGGTGAAACGGCTCCTTAAATAACTCACACACCTTGAAAGCCTTCTTAAGGCCACTATAAATGTTCTCAAAACGAACAAGCAATGGACTACAGCTCCCATGATCCACAGACAGCCTGCCAACTGAGCAGGCACTGTTGGCGGATATATTTATGGGGCTGAAGAGGGCACCATCGCCCTCTTCAACCCCATAAATATATGGTGAAAATGTTTCAGAAGCAGCATTTTTAAATACAGCATGTCCTTTTAACCAGAGGTTATCTAATAAACTATTACAATATAACATGTTTATACGATATATGTTTGCCAACATAACATGAGAATAGCCCTGTTGGATCAGGCCAAGGGCCCTTCTAGTCCAGCTTCCTGTATCTCACAGTGGCCACACCAGCTGCTAGATACCGGTAACCTGATCCCCCTCCCCTGCATCTGGCATTTGGAGGTACAGTACCTTCCTTTTGAGCCTGGAGATTGTACATCCCCATCGTGGCTTGTAACCCGTGATGGACGTTTCCTCCAAAAATCTGTCCAATCCCCTTTTCAAGGCATCCAGGCCACATGCCATAACCACATCCTGTGGCAAGGAGTTCCACAGACTTAACATGCTGGGTCAAGAAATATTTTCTTTTGTCTGTTCTCAATTGGAGTGGATGTCCCCTGTTTCTGGTGTTGCATGAGAGAGAAAAGAGCTTCCCTCTCTTCACTTTATCCATCCCCTGCATGATTTTATATGCCTCAGTCGTATCCCCCCTCAGGCACCTTTTCTCTATACTAAAGAGCCCCAAACGCTGTAGCTTTTCCTCAAAAGGGAGGTGCCCCAGCCCAGCCCTCATTTTGGTCACGCTCTCCTGCACCTTTTCCAGTTCCATGATTTTTTTGAGGTGCGGTGACCAGGACTGTACGCAGTACTCCAGGTGCAGCCTTACCAGCGTTTTGTACAACGGCATAATATTGACTGTTTTATTTTCAATCCTCTTTTTAATGATACCTAGCATGGAATTGGCCTTCTTCACTGCCACCGCACACTGAGTGGACACTTTCACCAGGCTGTTCACCAGCACACCAATATCTCTTTCCTGATCCATCATGGAGAGCTCAGAACCCATCAGCTGATAACTAAAGTTTTGATTTTTTTTACCCCATTGTTTATTATTTTACACTTTCTTTCTTATGTTGAAATGCATTTGCCATTTTGCTGCCCATTCTCCCAGTTTCGAGAGATCCTTTTGGAGCTCTTTACAATCTCTTCTGGTCTTCACCGCCCGGAAAAGTTTTGTGTCATCTGCAAACTTGGCCACCTCACTGCTTATCCCTGTCTCCAGGTCGTTTATGAACAGGTTAAAAAGCACCAGTCCCAGGACAGATCCCTGGGACACACCACTCTTCACCTTGTGAAAATCGTCCATTGACACCCACTCTGGTTCTCAACCGCCTCTCAATCCATAAGAGGACCTGCCTTCTTGTCCCCTGACAGTGGAGTTTTCTCAGCCTTTGGTGCGGGACCATGTCAAATGCCTTCTGAAAATCCAGATAAGACAATATCCACTGGTTCACCCACATCCACATGCCTGTTGACCTTTTCAAAGAATTCTAAAAGGTTTGTGAGGCAAGACCTACCCTTACTGAAGCCATGCTGATTTTCGATCAGCAAGGCTTGTTCTTCTTATGTGTTTTATCTTGGATGAGACTTTGCCACCATCTTCCCTGGAACAGACATTAGGCTAGCTGGCCTG